GGATACGTTATTTTTCTGGGCATTTTTTCTCATCTAGTTGGTAGAGATAAACATTACTTAGCTGCAAACACTCACACAGATAAAGCTTTAATTCCTAGCTCAGACTTTTCAGGGTGTTTGACACTTGCATGAAAGTAGAATAAGGGCAGAAGCAGAGATATTCTAAAGAGCTTAACATTACTGATAAACTGTCAATCTAGCAATGCTCATATCTGCTCTACTTACCTCTGACGTTCCATCAAATATTCAGTTAAATTCTAGCTTTACCATTTACTTATTTATTATATTAAAAATTGTACACAGATTGAAAGATTTTCTTCATCCTCATGAGAAAAGAGAGCACATTATACAATATTCATTAGGTGGAAAAAACCTTGCAGCGTGTTGAAACTTCTGTATCTTCAACAATCTGCTTGGGTTTTACAACTACAACTTCCCTAGGGACCAATTAAAAAGAATATTGAGAAATTTAAGGTGAAACTGAGCAATGGATGTCATAAGACTTTTAAAGAGTTCCGGTATTAAGGAAGAGAAAAAAATTTCTTCTCCTTGTACTGTCAAAAGCATGTAACTCAAGCCTAAGTGAAGCACTGCACTACAGGCACCACAAAAGCAGATTTTACAGCCCACATTTCCAAGCTGTATTAATACATTCAGTGACTTAAATGTTCACAGACTTCAAAACGAATGTGTAATATTCATTTTACATCAATATATTTTTTCCACAACCTTTCAAATGTATTACAAGGATTGGTCTTTCATGAAAGTACCAGAAGGAAAAAAAAATAATAATTCTTCAATTTGGATGACTAACTAGGTCTCCTGCTCCCTGTATGCTGAAGTATGGTCTGAGGACATTCTATTTAAAATATGCACTGAAGTCTCCTTACCACTGCAGGAGACTCAAACCACGGCTTTTAAAAATGATATAAACTAAAGACAAAGAGACCACAAGGTGTTGGGTTTTTTTTCCCAAACTGCAGAAAATTCATGGCTGAGGGCTGCTATGGCATCCCAAAAGAGGAAATGTTTTTCTTGGTGATAGCATTTACAAGGTTTAAGTGCTAAACTTGAACACTGATGCTAGCCAGAGCTCCCTAGCTTCAAACATTTAAACTATGGATAAAATAAAACATCAATGCTAAGTGATATATTACTGAAACTATCTACAATTTACAATGTTTTTTAATTGGACTGATCAGGTATATGAAAAATTCCTATAACACTCCCAACCCTCTTAAGACCAATACCTACTTAACATACATACTAATACCAGATGACAGAGGATCACTGCTAAAGACTTCACCTTTCAAAATCTACTCAAGTTTTAGTTATGAAAAAACACCTACCACTACACTGCTTCTCACAAGTAAAATTTAGAACCAGCTGCAATTAATTGTCAGTGGGATGGGAAAAGCTCCCCAAAAGTGCATATTGCTTAAAAGCATGGCACAGCTTCAGGACAAGCCCTGTAACGCCCTTGTTAAAACATGTGCGTAGCCAAAACTTGCCCTTTCTGCTGTATCCATGGAGCTTTAACACAAACTGCAGCAGTTAGAAGTTACTAACACAAATAAACTCAAGTTTTGCATTTTCAAACACAGCTCTAAATCCAACATTTGCATTCCAACTTCAGTTGTTATTACCACCCCTGTAAATAAGGAAACAAAGAGAGCAAAAGTATTTGACACGGAACAGCAACTTCCCCCATATTAGAAATACAAATTCAAATTATACATTTCTTTCCTCTGTGGATTACAGACAAAAAATGTACGCAGCTTCTTCTGCACAGTATGCCAACCTTTGCTTTACCATCTTCTTTCCCCATGACATGGAGGAGCCAACAGCAGTGAAATTTGGTTTGCTGCAGCCTGCGTCATGCGTTCCCCCCAGAAGTCAAGCAGCCCTCAGACTACCACACAGCACAGGCATGCAAAGCATTAGTTTGAAGCCAAGCGTGGTACAAGAAAAAACAAAACAAACAAAACAACCCGCCAAAACCAGTACTGATTATCAGGTACCTCCCAAGAGGTGATCAGACTCTGCTTAAGCCCATTAGGCAAATTATTAAATGAAAAAATTTTGAGGAAAAAAGAAATTGTTAAAATATTGCACAGGATGCAAGCATGTGAAGTGTTTTCTGTGTTGTCCAAAATGAGGTGGGCTTTGCATCATTAAATTTAATCTTTGACGTTTCATTAAGAGTGAGACTTTGGAAAAACAAGAGGTCTGTTATGGGACAAATCTGAAAAGCAAGTACAAATGCTACAAGCAAAAAACCATACTGGACTGTACTCCAGAGAAGCTAGTAAGAGCTTTCTAAGAAATTAATACTCCTCTGTTGACAAATGCTCCTGTAACAAACTTCTGCCAAGTCCTCCATACGCAAACAGACACAGCAGTTTTCCATTTCAGAGCTGAACTCCAGGGGAACTTGTCTCAAGGTGGCATGCAGAGCACGGCACAGTCTCGCCCTCAGATTTCTAAGGTGTTAACCTCGGCCACGACCCAGAGTTACTGCATCTGTGCCTCGTGCACCGCTTTACCCGGGGCACGCATAACTATCTTCTGCTGTTTTCTTACGATGCGTGAAAATGCATGCACACACCACCGACAAACACCGAACTACAAGGCACTCCACACAGTGTTTCTTCCATGGTCAGAAGTCCACTGGAGTCGGTCAGCATCTTTTGCGGGCATTACAGTTCTTCCTCCCTCCCTTCCCCCACTTCAGATTTAATCTCAACAGTTCCCACAAAGCTGATGCTTCCAGCATTCTCCACCATGCATGCAGAGAAGTGAAAAGCACTCAGTCATGTGAATTGTAAACATTCAGAATCACTAGAGGAAGATAAAGCCAATACTAAGAATCATTGAAAAATATGCATATGGTAGTAACTATTCCATTTTTCTTATTTCATACAGATGCACAGTTAACTTTTCTATAAGATGATTTTAAAAAGGCATGTTAGGCATCATCCTAACTTTTATCTGCTCTACATAACCCATGTAATATCCTTCAGCCTCCATCAGCCTGACATAGTTTGCTTTCTGATAATGAAAAACGCAGTATTAGACTGAAGTGTTAAAATGTGGCGACAGAAAAAAAAAAAAAAAGAAAATAAAAACTTACATAGAACTTCTAAGAAGCGTTACACTACAAGCAGCAGCATAAGACTAAGAGCTGGATTTAGCTCCAGATTAAGACAACTACACCTAGATACCAGCTTGTAGGCATCTGAGCTCACATCTCGGCAGAGGTCTAGAGAACACAACGAGGAGTCAAGGTGGCTCTTTGCCCACAAAACATCACAACCACAGGAGACCCACCACACCCCAGACTCTGCGGTCTGCATCTCCACTGCACCACCATGGAAGCTGGGATACATGGCTCATACATTGACCCCAAAAACTTGGCATTACAAGCTCAGCTGAATTCTCTCTGAAACTGCTAATTACTAGCAAAAAACTACATTGACTCAAGTCAACTACAATTCCAAAGGACTGAAGGGTGGCAAAAATCACATGACAATTAAAAGAAATGGTAAGGGCAATTTCATTTTACTTTTGCACCTATTAAATTATTAAAAACAATTACAAACACAACCCTAACAGAAGCTCTCAAACATTCTTTTCTAGTGACAACAGTCACAGAAAACATTCGTGAATCTTATTTCATAAGGCTGATTTTCCCTATCGCCTGTCAGAGACGCTGCGGAGCCCCACGGCACTCGCGCGGCCATTCGCTGCTCCTCGGCTCTGTTCGCAGCCAGAACTCTGCTGTGTCTCAGACCTGCAGAGGCAGCACAACTAGAAGTAGTAACACACTGCGTAAGTTTATCTTTGTCATGAAAGATTAGAGTCTGAAAGCAAACAGGGGGCCAATCTGTCGAGTGAGACACCGCCAGTTTTAGTCACTTTACAAAGAAGACCCGGTGTGCGTGGTAATTTATTTATGGAATTCAGTTGTTCAAAGCTGTTCTAGCTTGGGTGACATTTCGCTACAAGTTTCAGGAAGCAGGCTAATTCTGAAGATTAGTCTTGAAGTTTTTTTTGTGCTATTTAGTTTCACTAAAACTTCCCAAAGAACCTATTCAAGATTAAAACCAAGATACTTTACCAAGTTTTGTGTTTTAGAGACATGACACAGAGGAAATACTAGGTGTAACTCACAGTGGTGTAAAGTTGACATTTACACTTAAGCTAACTTACAGATTTTGGCCAGAGCTGCAGAATCCCTCATCTCCAGCCAAAAGAGGTTTTCATTATGTTTCAGAATTTTCCACATAAATCTTCCACTGCCCACTCTTCCACTGAAAGCCGGAACGCTCCAGGCACAGAACACAGAGCATGGGTTGTATCAAATCAAACAGACCAGACATAACCTTCATAGCTGTCGGAGCTTCACACCTCTGAGGCACGATCAAGCACAGCTGTTCATAAAATAAGCAGCTCCGGTTGCTCTAAAGCCTACATTGTTCTTTTGTACGGCGGAACAAAGGCTTAATAAGCTCAAACACTACGGATACAACAAACCTACAGCAGAAGAAAAGCCTAAGGGGGAAAAAGAATACATCTGTACTCACTCTCCCTTTCTAAAATAATGCCTCTTTGCCTGTCTTTCCTTTCAGCAAGACGAGGTATACAACTCTTTTCCTAAGCCACTGCAGCAAAAAACCACGCTGCAGATTATTCCATCACTACAGACAGCAGCGTTGTGCTTCTCAGTGGCAGCCCGTTGCACCAGCTATCTGCAGAGGTGAATCAGAAGTCAACCATCTTGCCACCACCGCCTTAGAGGCAGAGGCACCAGAACAGGGATATTAAGGGGTGGGGACTACGAGTGGACTGGCAGAGGTATCCCACCCCCCGAGGAGGCAGATGGAGACGCTGCTACCTGAATGGGATCTCAAAGCAAGCCTCCAGCTGCACAACTGAACTCCCCATGTGGCACCACAGTTGGGGAAAAAAAAGTGGACAAAATTCTATTAACATTAACTAAACAATTATTACTTATCTTGCTGTAAGAATAACAGTCCCTTGGCATATTTGTTTCTGACCGCAAAGGAAAGAAAAACATTATTGTTACCATGGTTATATATTTTTTTAGTATAGTTTCTACCCTTAGCACAGAGCAAGATTACTTTTACAGAAAGTGCTGAAATTCCTGAAATGACTCCATTGTATTGGAGCAAGTTATCCTGTTCGGTTTTTATAGATGTTGAGTAGCTGAAATAAAACCTGAAATACCCACATCTCATCGAAGGTTGGGACAAAAACAAAAAAACAAACCAACAAACAAAAAAATCACATAACTTTATTTAAATGCTAATTTTTGAATGACAGCACTGCCTTTAGCAGCAGGGAACAACACTTTATAATGCAGAGATCCACCCCAGTTACTTGATCGTAAGCAAATTTCTAACTCTATGCAATACAGTGATTCAAATAACTGACTGAAACTTCAAAAAGTAAGAGGACAGAGTAATCACAACTGCAGTGTCTGTATACAGATTTGTTGTCATTTTGCCCAAAAGGGAGAGGACGTTATCGTTAGTTCTTGGCAAGGGTAAGTGCTGCTAGCATGTCTCAAACATTTAATGAAGACACATACTCTGCCACCTGCTTTGCCTCTTTATTGAAATTCTTTCTTAATCACCAATTTGATATTCCAGTTTTAGTTAGACCCTTAAAATTCAAGTGTAATGGTTAATATATCTCAAGATGCATTTCCTAATGTTTCATCTGAAACTCTCTGACACGGCTAAAACACAGGACAGCACTAAGATCTATTTTGACCATTGGTAAAGTAATATATTCAGTTATAGAGAAACACTTGGTGAAATAAAACTGTAAGAAAACAAACCAAAAACTTTAAGTCTTTTCTCAGATAAGCATAAAATGACTGGATGTTAAAATAGCTTTGCTGGAACTGCATGCATACATTTGGCTGCTCACTGGTTTGAGGTTTGGTTTTAATTATTTCAATTTACCTTTTAAGGAAGTGCTTGAAAGTTGAAAATCAAGAGCATCGTAATGCTGAGTTTGGAATATTGAAACATGTTTCGATGAAACCTACCCACGGGTAGCTCACACAGACAGCAGACCTAGCATTTGTACCGTTTCAGACAGACCCAGAATTATTCCACAGAAATACCTTTCAAAACTCAGATTTTCTGGTCAGCTTAATGTCTTTCACAAACAATCTGAGAGATTAAAATTGTGGAGGGCATGAGAAAAGTCACAAGGAATCCCATGCTCAATCAGTTTTTAAAAACATTTATAGTATTTATTTACTATTTCCACAGAATTCAAGGGAATTTAATCATTTTGAGAAGTTAAGAAGCTTTGGAAGCAATTGCTTATTTGGTTGACAAACTATCTGCTTCACAGAATTAAGGGAAATATTGTGAAAGAAGTTAGAACCTCTTAATACTAACATCTGTCAAAATCAGAAGATTTCTATGGAAATTGGTATTACCACATAAGAGAAGTCAATAGAGAGCATGACGACCTGAAAAAAAACGGATTCTAATCTTTTGTTTTTTAACTGCTGTCTCCCCAGAGATGCATTTTAAAAGGAGCAGTCCTCCTTTCATAGCCACCAAATACTGGATACCAAAGCGATAAGTGAAAACAGTTAACAAAAATACAGTTTAAGTCTCAGAAATAACTGGACTAGCATTTTAATAAATCAAAATAACTAAGGTATCAGGAAAAAACCTACCTATGGCACAAATTTGGGATATATTACTGTATTTTACCCACTTCATCTTGTTAAGACCCTGGCATGTTCCAAGAAGATGCAGAGACACGTTAAACTGTCTGTGTAACAACAAAGAGATTTGAGACCAGTGGGCAGCAGAGTGAGCAGGCAGTCGCTCTGCACCTTCCCTTTGCCTCGCCACCGGTCTACCCACGCCGTCTACTACGGACCGCAGCGTTTCAGCAGAGAAACCACCCGCTCTGTGGATTAGGACTAACTGCGACTACACTATTAAGACTTTACATGAGACATTATCCTGAAGTCAGCTGGATGGCTAATATAAGGTTACTTATAAAATTAGGCTTAAATTATGATTTGCAATACATAATAATAAGAAATCCCACATATCTGAAGGGAAAAGGGATCTATATAAAATGACTATAAAATGCTTTGCCAGTAACACAGAAAGCCACAGAAAACAAGGCATAATCTAAACTGACTGCACCCCTAAAGCCAACATACATAAGGGATCTTTCATAAGGAGACCCTTACTCCCAAAGACTCTTTCCAAGGCTGTGCCCCACTTTGGTTTTTACTTTTTCCATCAACATAGTCTTAGTTTCCTGCTCACAAAAAACCCCAAGAAAATAAAATTTCAAGTACCTGTAGAGCACCCACTACTTACTGAAGACGTCAATTTTTCAGAAAGCCCAACCAATGAAAGGATAAACAGAGCAGGTAGTGAGTGTGTAGAAAGTGTGCACATTGCAAATAAATAACTAGCACTAATTTTAGGAAGAAACAAACACACTCATTTCAGATAAACATGCATGTATCAGTATGCATGTAGCACTGGACATTATAAATCCTGCTTCCGGGGGAAGGAGAACATCCATGAAGGTAAAAAATAATACCAGTTAAGAGACAGTAAAATAAAACAAGTGCTGTACTAAATCCTTCATAGATTTTAGCACCCTCTAGTGACAAAAGTGAATAAAATGTTTTAGTGAGCAAAACATTCAGTATGTCTACTAAAGAAAAAAATTCTTGACAATTATTAGATAGAACAAATCCATCAGACTACTTGAGAAGAGTCGAAGGGCACTCACTTTGTTTACCAGTTCTCACGTCTCCTAAGTACTTAAGGCACACCGGTTCTAATAAACACCAGTTTGCAAAAAACAGATGCTCTTTAATGGGTGAGATTTTACCTTTCGAGCCTGTTCCTCAGCTCGTTCTTTCTTGATTTTTTCCAGCTCAGCCAGAAGAGCTGCAGTGTCATCATCATCACTGTCTTCCAAGTCCTCATCTTCATCATCTTCCTAACAGCAACAAACAGAAACAAGAAGCAGCTTGTTCATTTCATTTAACAAAAACAGCTTTAAGTTCTGAAGGTTATTGCGGAGACATGTCTCTCACATGAAAAAAAAAATAAAAAAATAAAAAAGCTCCCAGAACAGTCCTGGTCTGCCCAGCTAAGGCTACAATCTGCTGCTGATTGATTTCTGACATACTTGGGTGCTTGTCGCAGAAGCAAATACAGTACAAACGCTTTATTTGCTCTTATATAGAAAAGTCAAGAAAAAAATAGGTTTGTGACTTATGGATGACTGTAATTTTTTTATAATTCAAATGCTATATAGGTCACAGATTGTAGAGAACTACTGTCCTCAATCACTTTCTAATCATTGTAATGTAAGTCATTATAACAGTGTGCCCGAATACCCCACCCAATATTGTTGGGACCAAATATAACAGGATTAAATATAAACTCATCTTATTGTCAAGCTTTAGACCTAACTCCTAGATGGGGGGGGGGAGCCAAGAGCAAGAATCCATTGCTCTTGCAGAGTCAGTGTATCTTGACAGCTGCACCTCAGGGGAATTCAAACTAACCCAGTAGGTGACTGAGTCTAAAAAGTCAGCCATTCCCTGCACTTTTAAGTGGTATTTTCAGTTCCCTAGCTTTTGTGTGCTTTCCAAGAATACTGCTACAGCATGGGCCAGAATTCTCTGAACGACCCTGGACTTTCGACACAGTAGAGCAACTGTGAAACAAAGGTATGTTGGAACCTGTCTTGCATCTTTAGCAGACCTAAAATAAAAGCACATATTCTATTTACAGCAAATCCTTTAAGCAGGACACTGAAAGGAAAGATGGAAAAAAAAGATACATACATCAGTAAGCGGATCATCTGCATCAAGGTTTGCTGCAGGAATCTGGTCTAGTCGAGGTTTCTTAGACACAGAAGATGATGTTGTGTGTTCTATGGCATAAGATTTAAAAAAAAAAAAAAGGGACTAAGTGACTTCATTTAACAGCATCTAATCTCAGAAAGCAAAAATCTTCACAAATGATTTGCCTTGCATTAGAGTAAGAGACAGAAGCTTATGCTCACTTTTTCCTCACTTCTCAGTCCTAATGCCCATGCTAATTCCTCCCCTGTAGACATCCTCAAAGGGAAGCAATAACATCGCAAAACTTCTAATTTGACCTCCAAAAAGTTTTTGTAGTCACTGTTTCAATAAGAAAGAACAGCAGAGGAAAAAGCTGTGGAGAAAGATCCTCATTCTATATATCCAGCTGGAGAGTTCCCACTGAGGACCGCCCCAAAGCATTACTGTTGGCTAGTTTGGTCTAAACCACATCTGCTTTCATTTGTGAATTTGAAAGCCTCACAATACCTTCACACCTAAATGTAAAGTACCTAAATTCTGTCAAGCTTAATATTAAAAATTGGTACTTCTCAAAAAAACCTTGATTTGCAATTTAATTATCACTTACACTTTACCTGACCAGAATTGTATACTTTAAAAACCGATTTATGGTTACCCTGGTGCTGTAACACTAGAAGATGAGTCATTCCCCTTCTCCTTCCTGTCTCTTGTCCAAGTACAAAAAAAGCCCTTTATTAGCTGCACATACTTGTTGCCAGTTCATTACAATCATCCTGTATCAGCTGGCCTGCATGATGGTCTATGCTCTTTTACTGGCTGGCCTAGATTTTTGCTAGCATGAAGCCAGCATGAACGCTCATGGACATTCCCTTGCAGGTCAACAGCTCCGAACTATCAGACCAATACCCTAAATTCTACTCTCATGACATGCTGTCTGCAAGCTGTAAACTTCTTACAACACCACGTTTTGTGCAGAAGCAATGCCACACAGAGGAACTAAGATTTTTGGTTCTTTGTTTTTACCTCTGGTTGGTCTGTCTCTATTCTTTTCTCTTGCAGCGACCCGTTCTCTCTCCTCCAGCTCCCTTCTGAAATCACGGTTGCGCACCTCTTCAGGAGCATCCTGAGTGGCCTGTCTAAAACAAGACGGGAGGGGGGGAAGGGGGGGAAAGCTGAAGTTGACAGTTTGTGCCTGGGAGCAATTTTTTGAAGGAGGTCAATAATTCCTGGAGTGAACAGGTAAGGACAAAGAACAAGAACTGGGTACCATGTAGACACGTTTCCTTAAGTCTCTCTTCAGCAGCCCCCTCTGCTGTAAGCACTACACACACGCTCCTTCCGCCGGCTCTCCAATGAATTAGAAGACCCTACATAAATTCCTACAAAACCAGAATTACTGCATCTAGCTCTTGCTACGTCTAAATCTTCTGTCCTCCAGCATTGCAAGCCCAGTGGCCTAGCAGACTCCCACCAGCTTTATGGCCACCTTTCCTCACCATTTTATCACCTTAAGTTGCTGCTGCAAACACAGTCTCTAAGGCTTAGAGATAAGACCAAGACTAGAACATACTTTTCATAAACCTTCTCCCCTCCAAGAGACATACCAGATAATCTCCTATGACCTTTCGAAAAAAAGTTGGGAGAACAGGCAAAACAATGGCTATAGTGAAACATACTGTAAATACATGTTTTTCCCTCTTTTATATAACACACACCGGCCAAAAGCAACAGACTATTTATATTTGAGCCACACTAAGTTCCACATAGAAAGCGCTGAATTTTCCGTGGAAATCTTGAAAAGAACAAATGAATAAAAACAAGCAGCAATTCCTTTCACCTTTCTGTGAACCCAGTGCTGGAAATAAGAGTGCCTGGAAGAAATCTAGGCTCGAGCCATTATAAATACATTGTGTGCACAGCCTGTCTTTATGATGAAGTATTTAATTTGCTTTTGTAATTAAAAACCTGAACTTGGAATCCCTGACACAGCTACAAAATACCCCCAAACCCTGTGTCATTCAAGCAAACACGAGTGGACTGAAACACTGAGCTTTTCCTGCAACGATGCAGTCCTGGCAATTCAACAAAGACAACTTTGTAGTAGGCATTTGGGAGAAAGAAGAGAAGACACTTGATGCACCCTCCATCTCTCTCTCTCATGCACACAGAGTGATTCCTTAAAACATAAACTGTGTTATTTCTGCATATATTTGTCCCCACACACTTCTTTCAAAGCAAAAAAATGGTGTGCCAAACCCCATTTGGTATAAACAAACCACCAGAAATTTTTCCCACAGTAACAAAATGCATCCGACAGTGCTTTCTGTACTGTTGACTCTGATACTCTTCAAAGCACTCCAACTCCCTTATCCATACGTATTCATCAAAACCAAAGGGGCAGGAGGGAAGAGGTGAAAGGGTAAGCATCTGTACAAAAAAATGCAAAGATACAACCTTAACAGTAATTTCACTGACAAGAGTAACATCTGCTAAATGAAAAAACATTTTTAGGCTGACACATTTCATCTAAATTCTAGGTATCTCTATTACATGGACTCCAATTTAATTTCATCTTTTCAACAGGGTAACAAAGATTTATTGTATATTTCAAACAGAGGAAAATATTCATAAGATCCCATTATCTTTCACACTGATTAAAACAGCAGGTCCTCCCCCAGGACCTGCATGAACCACTGGCAGTCTTTAACACCAGCTCTTCCAACACGTGCTACTTCTCAAGCGCTCTTCCATGATTTCCCTGCCTCTTCTTAAAGCCCCTTCCCCAGGGGTCCTTTGCCACATACGACATGGTTTTCCTGCTTTTAAGACTTGCTCAACTTCACTTCTCTTATCCCATTCTGCTCTACAAGTGACACCACCCTCTGTGGGTCAGTTGGCTCCTGATGTTCCCATTGATTTTCTTTTCGCTCCACTGAAATGCTTGGTCTCCAAAGCTCATCTTCTTTTGACAATTCACTCCCATAAGCAGCAATAAATACCACTAAAATTAAGCCTCTCCAATTACTTGCAATGCATTCCACCTCCTAGGTCTACTTTTGAGACGCAGACTTTCAGCCCACTCATTCAGCACTGCTGCACAATCTCTGGTGTCTGCTCAGTGTCGAGCATGTGAACATCTACCGCGACAAATTTCAGAGTACTCCTCATAACAAAAAATCATTGCCAGACAGTTTTGCTGTAAGACCAAAAAAAACAATACTAACCTGTATTTGATTTTAGTGTGAGAAGGAAGGTCTCTGCTGGAATATTGTTTGGATAGCTGACTTAAGTCTCCTTCACCTTTTCCTCTTCCTCCTCTTGCAGGTTCAAATGTTGGCCTCGCTGCTGTCGTCATTTTAACTACTACAGAATCAAGGACAAAAAACAGCTGTTACCACAACTTACAGTGAAAGACATTCACCAGAAGCTACATTGTCTCTGAAACTGTAGCAGCAATGATAAGTCCCACTGTAGCAGCAATGATAAGTCCCACTACACAATACCAGCTATCACTTGCCACATGACCCTCAACATTTAAGGAGCTTTTTATTGACAGAATCTATACCTATTTTCAAGATAAAGTCTTTCCCAACATGTTTGAAGGATGATACGCAGACTCAAACAATAATGCGAAGCTATGTTTACAAATAAAACTGCCCAGGAGCCAATCTCCTATCTGAGAGATAGGTACAGTCTAGGAACAGATAGTGGTACAGCTTCGTAACTAAACTCTTTCACCTCCTGAAAACTGGCAGCCAGAAATGACTGCCTACTGGGAATGACCCCTCCGTTACTCCCCAAACCGCATCCAGGAATGATCACCAGAAATGCTGGCTGACGCAGACCACAGCATGCCTGGGGTGGTGTTGATAATTAAATACCGATGATGATCATGCACTCCGAACGCTTCAGCCCTCATCCTGACCCTGTTCAGTCCTCTGATACAGGCACAGCACTGCCATTAACACTGGAGCACAGTCCCTTGGGACCGACCAGAGCAGATCTCCAGCTGGCCAGCAAAACCTTCTGAAGGGCGAGGGTTAATGTTTCCCTGGTAGCACAAAGCGACAGCTTTACCCCAACGTAAACTAAGTGCAATTAACAAAGCTTGGACAAATGCAGAAGTTTGCATCAGCTCTTGTTTAGAAACTACAAGAACTCACACACCACCAGCATCTCCTAAAAATGAAGTAGCTGATGCCCGAAGTTGCTACTAACAATTCTTCTGTGGCAAAGCAGAGCCTCTGATCGGCCTCAGCCACGCAGACAGCCTGTCAGCATGCACTGCGCTCGGCACTGCCGGACAGGAGACCCTGTAATCCTAATCTGCTACGTCAAGAGTTCAAGTTGGTCAACCAATGCCAAAAACACCCTATATGATCAACCTGCGCCATCTTAAATCTGTTATCTCAAACTATGCTCACTCCTGCTTCACCACGACACGCACACCCACTAACCACAGACCAAAGATATACAAGACACAAGAGAGATGCATCTGTACAGGTACATAAAGGAACCAGTCAAAAGCATGAGTCCTACCAACCAGAAGGCTGGATGTTAAAGGGTGACAAGAGAACATTTCAAAGAATATTCAAAAGCAGAGGGGAAAAAAATTATATTGTTCTACTGGAGCATCTCTCCTGTGAGGAAAGGCTGAGGGAGCTTGGGCTTGTTTAGCCTGCAGAAGAGAAGGCTGAGAGGGGACCTAATATATACTTACAAATATCTGAAGGGTGGGTGTCAGGAGGATGGGGCCAGACTCTTTTCAGTGGTGCCCAGTGACAGGACAAGGGGCAATGGGCACAAACTGAAGCACAGGAAGTTCCGTCTGAACATGAGGAAGAACTTCGTCCCTCTGAGGGTGACGGAGCACTGGAACAGGCTGCCCAGGGAGGTTGTGGAGTCTCCTTCTCTGGAGATATTCAAGACCCGCCTGGACAAGGTCCTCTGCAGCCTGCT